TGCAGTATTCTATATGTCCATTAAATCAATGTTTTACATTTTTTTAAAAGATTTTATTTACTTATTTGACAGAGAGAACGCACAAGCAGGGGGAGCAGCAGGAAGAGAGAGAGAGAGAAGCAAACTCCCCATTAAGCAGGGAGCCAGATGCAGGGCTTGATCCCAGGACCCTAGGATCATGACCTGAGCAGAAGGCAGACCTTAACTGACTGAGCCACCCAGGTGCCCCCAGTGTTTTTCATTTTAACAGTGACACATATTTAGAAATACATTTGCATTAGAACCCTGACTACACATACCCAAATATATAACAAATCTTCACACAACAGTACTTGCTCTTATCTATCACGTACGACAACCTGTGTGTGTGTGTGTGTGTGTGTGTGTGTGTGTAATGATAGTTGAACCTCTGAAACTGATTTTACAACTCATGAATAGGTCAAACAATGTAAAAGATGCTACATTAGATCCAGCCCATTGTGCTTGTTAAATCCTCTATTACTGACATCTGATTCCTGAATGATATTTACCTATCAGTTACTGAGAGTTATGTTAAAATCACATTAACACATAAATCTCAGATAAGACATAGACTCTGAAGCCAGACTGACTAGATTTAACTCCCATCTTTATTACCTACATAGGTAACCCTTGGGAAATCTATTTAACTGCTCCTGCCTCCATGTCCCCGTTTGTAAATTAGGGATAACAGAAATTTACGTCCTAGAGATGTTAGGATTAGATGGGTTAAAACAGGAAAAGCACTTAAATCAGTTCCTAGCATATAGTAAGTACTAATAATGTAAGCTATTATTACTATTTTTTTTTGGTAAGCTATTATTTTCTTAAAATCTGCCTGATTATTTTGTTATTCCTTTGTTTCAATTTTGTTACTTCTATAAATATTTAACCATAGTTATTTTGTATTCTCTGATAATTCCAACATCTGAAAAGATCTTGGTGGTCTAATTTTGCTTTTTGTTAATTTTCTTACTCATGTTGGCTTGTTTCTTTATGGGTGGTAATTTTGTTGTTGTGAACCTTTATGCCTGATCAAAGGTGCTTTCCTCCAGAAAATATCCGGTCTTCTGCTAACTCTCTAGGGGCATTTCTAACTCAAAAGCACTTCACTGGATTGGAGTTTCTTAAACTGCGCAGGTAGAATAAATAAAATTCCAAACCAGTATGGAGGCAGGCTTATAAATTCAGATTCTTAAGGAACACTCCTTTTCTCTACCCTGAGCCAACACCAGAAATAGATGTTTCCTTGCAGTTCCTTTAGCCAGCAGACTTTTCCTGGCACTGGAGATACAGCAGTGAACAAAAGAGGCCAAAAAAATACCTATCTTCATGCAGCCACAATGGGCAAACAGGGAGTGGTAGGAAGTGATTTTGAAGAAGTAGGTCAAGATTACATAAGGCCTTTTAACCAAGGTGACAACTGAGGACTTGGTTTTAGGTGTGATGGGAAGTCACTGGAGGGTTCTGAACTGATGAATGACATGACATGATTTACATTTTAAAAGAACACTGGCTGCTGTGTGGAAAAAGTCAGTGTGAGGGACTAAGAATGGAAGCAAGAGAAATAGTTGATAGGCTAGTATTCTACTGGGAAATTTTGGTAGCTTGTACTAAGATTGTTGTTATGTACATTGTAAGAGAGATTAGGCATATATTTTGAAGGTAGGGTTTCTAATAGGTTGGATGTAGGAAGTGAGTGGAAGAAAGGGAACAAGGATGACCCATGGGTATTTGGCCTGAACACTTGGATGAATGGTGGTACCATTTTCTGAGATGGGGCAAACTGGATGAAGAACATGTGTGGGAATAAAGAACAAGAGCTCTGTTTTGGACATGTTAAGTTTTAGATGCCAATTAGACACTCAAATGGAAATGTTATTAATGTGAATCTCAAACATAAGAGAAAAATTATGACTAGAAATATCAATTTGAAAGTCATCAGTATATAGAGGACATAAAAGCCAATCAACTGAATGAAATATCTAGAGTTGTGCTGTTTGATAGAGTAGCCACTAGTCACATGTGGCTCTTAATTTTTTTTTTTTTTTTGGCAGAGAGAGAGAGGGCGAGCGCGCGCAACCACGTGCGCACTCAAGTAGGCAGAGTGGCAGGCAGAGGGAGAGGAAGAAGCAGGCTCTCTGCTGAGCAGGGAGCCTGACATGGGGCTTAGTCCCAGGACCGTAGGATCATGACCTGAGCTAAAGGCAGCCAATTAACTGACTGAGCCACCCAGAGGCCCTTAACTTTTTAATTAATTATAATTAATAATATTAAGAATTCATTTCCTCTTTTGCACTAGCCACACTACAAGTTCTCAAGAGCCACATATGGCTAGAAGCTATTGTACTAGACAGATTAGATCTACAATATTTCCATCTTCGCAGAAAGTTCTATTAGAAGCACTCATCTAGGGGTACCTGGGTAGCTGAGTCAGTTAAGTGTCTGCTTTCAGCTCAGGTCATGATCACAGGGTTCCTGGATTGGGCCCTGCGTTGGGCTCCCTGCTCAACAAGTAGTCTGCTTCTCTGTCTCTCCCCCTGGCTCATGCTTGCTTCCTCTCTCTGTCAAATCAATCAATCAATCAAATCTTGGGATGCCTGCGTGGCTCAGTTGGATAGGTGTCTGCCTTTGGCTCGGGTCATGATCCCAAGGTCTTGAGACTGAGTCCCACATCAAGCTCTTTGCTCAGTACAGAGCCTGCTTCTGCCTGCCGCTCCCCCTGCTCTTGCCCTCTTCTGACAAATAAATACATAAAATCTTTAGGGGTGCCTGGGTGGCTCAGTGGGTTAAAGCCTCTGTCTTTGGCTCAGGTCATGATCCCAGGGTCCTGGGATCAAGCCCCGCCTTGGGCTCTTTGGTCGGCGGGAAGCCTGCTTCCTCCTCTCTCTCTCTCTGCCTACTCCTGATCTCTGTCAAATGAATAAATAAAATCTTTAAAAAAAAAAAAATCAAGTATGTTTAAAAAAAATCTTTAAAAAATAAAATCTTAAAAAAAGAAAGAAAAAGAAGTAGATCTAGAGTATAGGATAAGAGGAAAAAGGATAAAATCAGAAAGGAAGGAAGGACAAGATAGACAGAAAATAGGGAGGGAGAGAGGGAAGGGGAAAGGAAGAAAAGGTCCAAGAACTGATCTCTGGGTGGCTCAGTTGTTGGGCGTCTGCTTTCGGCTCAGGTCATGATCCCAGGGTCCTGGGATCAAGTCCCCCGCAACGGGCTCCCTGCTCTGCGGGGAGCCTGCTTCTTCCTCTCTCACTCCCCCGCTTGTGTTCCCTCTCTCGCTATGTCTCTATCAAATAAATAAATAAAATCTTAAAAAAAAAAAAAAAACTGATCTCTAGGCACTACAAATTTCAAGGATGTAAAGATGATGAGGAGACAGTAATGATGACTGAGAGTGGCCAGTGAGGTGAGAGCAAACCAGAAAAGGAGGATAATCCTGGAAGCCAAATGAGCAAAGAAAGTATTTTGAGAAGGGAATGATCAGCAGTAGGAAATATCGTTGAGAAATCAAGTAACCTGACATCTGAAAACTGATCAATGATTTGGTAAAATGGAGATCTCTGGTAACCTTGAAAAGGTTTCAGTGTCATGATGGAGCCAAAGCCCTCGTAGAGTGACTTGAGCAGGGAATGGAAAGTGAAGAAGTAAAGAAATGAACATTAGTAATATTTTCAAGGTTTTTTTTATAAGTGCGAACAAAAAAATGGGTCTATAGTTAGAGGGGTCCATGAGGACAAGTAATAGTTTGTTAAAATATCAGAAATATTACAACATACCCTACTTGAAAATTAAGCAGAGAAATTTACAGCCATTACTCAGTTGCAAAGCACACAGTCCCATAAATTCAGAATCTTTCACTAAATTTCTTTCGAAGTCTGACTAGCTGCTAATATCTCTTCCTTCTTTCTTTCTTTATATGGGCTTAGACAAGGAAACAGATGAAAGCTCGATTTTTCACTGACTTTCAAGTTCAAAACATTAATCTGTATTGGTAACTTTTATCAGACTGAGAATTTTTAAAGCTTCGGCCAGATCTGTAAAATGGATCTCACACAATCATGTACAGAGTATTAAATTATTGTCCCTTTTTATTTCTTTAATCAGAGGCAGAATTTTGGGGGCACCTGGTTGGCTCAGTCAGTAGAGTGTATGACTCTTGATCTCAGGGTCATGAGTTCAAGCCTCACATGGGGCATAAGGCTTACTTAAAAAAAAAAAAGTACAATTTTTTTCATGTAGATACAGAGACAGTCAAGCATGTCTTTCCCTGTAGTAATGTCAAACCAAATCTTTCTGTAGGTGCTGACCTAAAGAAAATTTCCCAGGTTTTCTGAATTAAAAAAAAAAAAAAAAAAGTAATAATACTAAGAGATCACCTTAGAAATTAAATGGGAGGGGGGCCTGCATTGCTCAGTCAGTTAAGTGTCTGTCTCTAGATTCCAGCTCAGGCAATCATCTCAGGGTCGTGAAATGGGGACCTGCCTCGGGCTCCACACTGACTGTAGTCTGCTTGCCCCTCCCCCTCCCCCTGCTTGCTACTACCCACGTTCGCTCTCTCTCTCTCTCTCTCTCTCGCTCTCAAATAAATAAATAAATAAATAAAATCAATCTTTAAAAAAAAGGGGGAGAAGAAAATAACTAAATAAAAATCATATATGTAGGAACATTTGAATTAAAAATAAACAATGTTTTAATTTTGTCATCTTCACATATACAAACTTTTGAATGAGCTTATAGAGAATTTAAATGTATTTTTACAAAAGAAAATCATCATAACTTTACCATTCCTAAGTTCATGGTAATAGCTGAAAATACTGTATTCTATACTGATAAACCAATAGGACAGGGTAAAGCAAAAAGGTATTATAAAAAGTTGAGCTTCCTATGTTATATATTCTCTCTGGACATGGTAAACATGTGGTATGTAATGTAAATGTAATTGAGGATAAAGAAATTGGGTTTGAAGACCTATTACTTACCATGCAAACTGTTATCAATTTCAATATTTTCAGACATTATTGAATTATTTGTGCTGTAGCTCAGACCAAGAACCATTTGAAGATCTGAGAGATTTAGTCGTGCTGTTAGTTCACCACTTCTATCCCCAACCTACAACCACAAGCATTTATATTTTAGAGTAGTATTAAAAGACAAAAAATGGTGAAGATTAGCTGAAAATGTTGTGAACCCAAAACTGAAGAAAATATAGAGAAATGAAAATTGTTATATCAGAATTAAGAGACTGAACTAAATGGTTTTTTTAATAATTGTTTTAAAGAAAATGGAAATTTCTATAAGTATGGCAATAGGAGAGCTAAATATATTGTATCAATTCATTCTCTAAATATTAGTTGCTTTTTAACTTCTACAATCGTATTTAATAATAATGTAAGTTATTCTGTGACAGACTGACTTGGCATCGCATGATTAAAATTTCCTAACTTTGTTTCCATTCCATAGTAATAGTTAATATATATTAAACTAGCACTAGACATTACACTGGGCAGTTTTATATACACTATCTCTAATTCTTACAATGATCTGCAAGGTAGATATTATCTGTCCCATTTTATAAATGAGAGAAATGAGACTCAGAAAAGGTTTCCAATCTCAAATAGCCAGAAAGTGACAGAACTGCAACAGGAAACAATCCATGATTGTTTACCATGCTACTTTTCCATGTAGAGATGGGAGGCATATTTTAGTAATCTTTCCATTCTGCCATGCTTGGCCTTACCTTCCTGTCTTCCTACATCAAGGCCAATGAAAACAGACCTCTGATTTGTATCTCAAAATGCTTTGTGCAGTTCTTATGCCAAGGGAATAACATAGTTACATTTATTACTAGGTCACATAGGAGCAATCTAGAGAAATAACAGGGCTTCCCCCAACCCTGCTAATTTGTGAACCATAACAGCACAGATAGCAGTGTTTTAGTTTCATACCTCTCTTGAAATTTCCAAGTGCTTTTCAGCAAAATGCATCGCTTGATCATGATTCCCTAGAGCAGTGTATGCATTTCCTAAGCTCCAACATGCTCTTCCCTCACCAATTCTACAAAACAATTCAAAGGTAACATGCAGTTATCTGAAAGAGAGCTGTGTGTGGAATAAAAGCTATCTAGAAGTAATTAAAGGTATAAATATGCTTTGGATTTATTTGGTCTTTCATAAAGGAACATACTATCTTAACATTAGAGACTTATTAGAATACCTAGATAATACTGAACTCAGAGTCAGGTATTAAAATGGGAAACATTTTTTTAAAACATACAATTTATTATGAAATAATAAAATCTCTTGGATAGGTCCTTCTAAACGACTCCATTTTCTTTTCATGATAGCCTAGGTAATCATTCAGTCCATGTTTGAATACTACTGGGGAGAGAGAACTCACTAGAAGTAGCATACTTTACTTTGAACAACTACAGAGAAATTCTTCATAATGAAGTAAAAATCTGTCTCCTAAAGCAAACATTACAGACTAAATGCCTGTAGAAATACACTGCTTTTTCATACAGTTTTTTTTTTTAAAATAGCCATCAACATTTAAAAATCAGAAGATTTATATAAAACTCAGGACTTCCAGCTTCTCTTTAAAAAAGAGGAATATTTGGACATCATAGATCCTCGGCCCTGCCTAGCAAAATGAGCTGGAGCTGAGGAGCTTTACATTGGCCCTTATCTGTAAGTTGACCACAATTCCCACACTGATCTAATCAGGAGGACCTTTGTAGGCAATTGAGTTTGTGACCTCTTTACTGTCTTGGTTCAAGGCTATATGGAGCACTCTCATCTTATAAGACATGCTAGTCCTTCAAACAGTAATATAGAGAGGAGGTGACTAAAACAGAAGAAATTCCTTGATTAAAAATTTCGAAGAAAACAAAGGAAACAAAAACAAAGGAAAAACTCTAGGGGTTCAATAATGCATCTATATTTTAATTATAGTAAAAAAGTGTGTAACTTACCTATCATTTAGCTCTTGAGCAATTGCTAAGTGCTTCAGATGATAATCAATGGCCTTTTCGTAGTCTTGAAGCAAAGTATATGTGTTTCCAAGACTATAACAAGACTGTGCCTCGACAGCTCTGTCTTTAAGCTGTCGAGCCAATAGTAGTGTCTTTCTAAAAAAAGAAATTAGTTCTCACACAATGATCATTTTTATTTTTGGCTATAATACTTGTAAATTATTGTACAAAAAATTGTAAAATAAATTGTAAAATAAAACTCTTTTTCCTTCTGCCTTTACAATACATCTATTTTAGAGTTTAATATCCCACACTTTCTCCACTACTTTTAGACAAAATGAAAAGATGTCTTGGAAACACAAAAACCAAATCCAGATTCTAAGAATAAATTTGAGAGTCCTATTAATTCTTCAGAGAAAAGGAATATTGAAATATGAAATTAAGTACCCCTAAAGATTATATAATATAGTTTTTTTTAACATTTAAAAAAAACTGTCCCAGTTGTAGGGGCAAAAAAAGAATTTTTGTCCACATAACCTCACTTTGCAATCATACTGTTGTCTTTGCATTTTGTCAAAACTTAAAATACTTGGTTAAAATTCTAATGTATAGGTTATTAGTCACTGATTTCTGAAAAATATTAAATACCATATTTAAATATTAACCAAATTCTACCTATACTCATTGAATCATCAATGAGAAGCTAGTGTAGCAGCTAAGAGTGTGGATCCTAGAGCCAGACTGGGTTCAAATCCCAAGTTTGCCAATTATTAGCTCTACAATGGGGCAAGTCTCTCAACCTCTCTCCATTTCTTCATATGTTAAATGGAGAAAATACCTCACAGGGTTTTGCGAAGATTTAATGAATTAGTACATACAAAGTGCTTAGAATAGCATCTTGTTCACAGTAGATGCTAATAAATGTTAATACTGTTTTTATTCTTATCATCAGCACTTAATCCTACAGATGCTTAAGATCCAGTAACTTAAATGACTCCTATAATTTCTGCCAAATACTATAAATACTTCATATGATTTATAATATGAAAAATAAGTAAATGATAATATGATAGGTTTAAGCAAACAAAGCTGAAATTATATACTTAATGATGATACCTTCAAAGCTGTTACTTTGGGAGGCTACACACTTACTCTAACATTGCCTACTCTCAAACATTTTTGGAAGACTTCTGGATTTGCTTTCAGATCATGGGCTATCTTTCTGTAACACCATTTTTCTTTGAGGGTATAGTTAATTTGTAAATGTTCAGAAGTCCTTCTGGAACCAAATTCAATTGCTAAAGTAGGTTTACCAAAATACTGCTTTCTATCCTGAAGGATATAAATTTTAAAATATTAAGGCAGGGGCACCTGGGTGGCTCAGTCAGTTAAGTGTCTGCCTTTGGCTCAGGTTGTAATCCTGGGGTCCTGGGATCGAGTCCCACATCCAGCTCCCTGCTCTGGGGAGCCTGCTTCTCCCTCTGCCTCTCTCAGTCTCTCATGAATAAATAAAATGAAAAAAAAATCTTTAAAATGTTAAGACATTCCTCTTGTGTGGTCCTGAAAACAATTCTAAAGGAGAGTTCTGAGTTCTAGCCTACTTATGGAGAGGGCATTGGGAAGAAGTTTCATTACTTTATACCCATGTATAAAGTCAAGTCGAGTCAAATAGCCACCATCCTCTTTATTACAGAACTTTTCAGTATTTAATACAAGTAGATCATTTATTAACTAAGACATTTCTATGTCTTTTGCTTTAAAATATAAGAAACTTTTCTATTTAAAAATCAAAATATATACTCCTTATATAGTAATTTATTTGGGAGGGCATTTCATATTTAACTAACCAACCAACAAATATTAACCACTGGTCAATGTTTAGGATGGATGACATTCTAGTTTTTTAGATGGACCTAAAAGCAATTTTATGTTTTTTGTTTTTTTTTTTAAGATGACAAACTATCCAAAATCACATTGGATTCTTTAACAATATAATACAAATCAATCACTGTATCTGTGGTTCAAACTAGCTTCTGCCTAAGGCCTGCATGGGTCTTCAATCTCCACTAATTAGAGAAAATTCCAAACTAGAAAGCATGGACTGGACAATCTCAAAGAGTCTATACTTTGCTATACCTACGTTTCCAGTCTATTGATAGATCAGAAAGACTCTGCACAGAAGAAGCTGGGTTTGTCAACTCCTCAGGTAAGTGAATGGGGCCTGAGCTTACAGTGAGGATCAAAGATGGATAGAGGAGAGTGGGAGAACTGCTCAACAAGGGGGTGCGATGGTGGGGGAAAAAAATTCAGTGATCACTGGAGAAAACTAGGGCATATTTTTGTTAACAGGCTTTCTTGTGGCTTTTCTTCAAAACACATAATTGGGTTAAAAAAAAAAAGAAAAGACCAAAAACAAATAAATATATACACCACACATGCTAAACAGGTTTAAAAGACTTTAAAAGTTCAGAATTTCATTTAAAAACAATTAGTTTTAAAGATAAAAACTAACAAAAATATAAAGGAGTCATAGCACTACCACTAAAGCTAAGGTACCAGGTCCTATGCGAATTAAGTGCTGAATTTATTCTTTTATTCAATCCTCACAATAATACCAAAAGCATGGAATTGGCATTATCTGTTACAGTGAAGAAACTGAGGCTTAGAAGCACAAGGTCCTGCTGCTAATAATGTGCAAAAAGCAGGTTTTAAACCCAGAGCCTATCATTTAATAGGACTGCGTAACTACTCATTTTACATTTATCTACAGAAATAATAGACTAACTTGTAGTATTCAGAGGCAGTTTCAAATTCACCAAGAAATATATATGCATTTCCCAGGTTGCTATATGCTCTTCTTTCAGCTGCTTTATCTCCAAATTCTTTTGCAATAAGGAGACGCTGAAACAGAAAATTCTAATTAGATATAGCTATAATACAACCAGAGAATAATCTAATCACTGTTTAAAACACTGATGGAGAAAATGATCTGGCTCCAAAGCCTTACACTGTACCTGCTCATGAGCTATAACCGCATCCCTGAAGTTACCAAGGAGGTAATGTGTGTTTCCAAGATTTCCAAAGGCACGTCCTTGGGCTGCTCGATCACCCAAAGCAGTCACTAGTGATAGGTTTTCTCTAAATAAAAAAAGTTGTGAAAAAATAAGTTTGGGAAAAAAATGTATTGATTTGATTTACAAATCAAATTCTTTTTATCAAAAAAATTTTAAAGGTGCTGCCTGGGTGGCTCAGTGGGTTAAGCCTCTGCCTTCAGCTCAGGTCCTGATCTCAAGTCCCAGTTCAGGCTCTCCGCTAGGCAGGGAGCCTGCTTCCTCCTCCTCCTCTCTCTCTCTACTTGTGATCTCTCTCTCTGTCAAATAAATAAAATCTTAAAAAAAAAAAATTTAAATAAGCTTAGAGCCATAAAGTACCACATTTTAAAGCTCCATCTATGAAAAGGGTGCCTGCGGGACTCTGGGTCGAGTGTCTCACTCTTGATTTCAGCTCATATCATGATCTCAGGGTCGTGAGACTGGGCCCCATGTCAGACTCTGTGCTCAGCAGAAGTCTGTTTGAGATTCTCTCTCCCTCTGGCCCTTCCCCAGCCATCCCCCCCAGAACCAGCTGCCCTGGCTCATGTGTACACTCTAAGTAAATAAATAAAATCTTAAAAAAAAAAAAAAAAGATATACCTAAGATGGAGGGTGATTATAGTAAATAACCAGGAATACTTTACTTTACTGAAGCATTCAGGCAGGTTTCTGTCCAAAGTCAAGAAGAGGGTCAATCTTGGAACCCTTACAGCTAAGAAGTTTTATGAAAATCTGCTAGTAAGAGACTAAATCTACTCCACATAATTTAGGCTATTGATTTAGATATTTCTTGTTTTTGCCACTAAGTGGCACTGGTTAACAGTTTAAAGGAAACCTTTCCTGGGGAGGGGATTACTACTGAACTAAAACTATAACAGCAGCAATCTGATGGTTTATTTTTACTTGCTAGTCCATAACTCTAAAACTTTTACCAAACTTAAGAATGTATTACTGGATAAAGATCATAGAGCAGATCTGTGGCTTAGCCATATGACTGAATCAGTGCTACTTACTCATAATAATCCACAGCTGCCTGGAGGGCGTTTCTCACTTCTTCTGGAAATTCTCCTATGTCCTGAGGACCAGGGCAGCCAAAACTTTTCCCTTTGGCGTGATACACATTTCCAAGATTGTAAAGTGCTCTTGCTTCTCCCACCTAGATGAAGATATCAGCAGAATTTACATTTTGAAATCAGAAGCCAGGTATTCTAATGCTGATCACATATTTATTTATAATATCCTTGATGGTCAAGAAAAAGAAATGTTTACACTGGCCATCCACAAAGAACTAAACAAATGATTACTTATGAAAGAAGAATGTGTTATCTTCTTTTTCTCTATTTTAAATTTTTTATTTTTTTCTTTTACTTTTTCTAGAAAATTTTTTGGTATTAACTTCTAGTAAACTACAGAGTAATTAAATAGGATTTAAAACACAAAGCAATTTCAATGAAAACATTTGGCCTGCCATCTAATGTTCCTTATTACCTTGTCATTAAGCTCTCTAGAAATATCTAGATGTCGCTGACAACAAACTACAGCTTCATCAAAATTCCCAAGAACTTTTAAGGTGTTTCCCAGATTACCACTAGCTTTGGCTTCCCCCAGCTGGTCTCCAATAGTCCTGGAAGAAAAAAGAAAAGAAAAAAAAAAAAAAAAAAAAAAAAAAGCAAGTGGTGTTAAAAATAAAAGCAGTCAGAGTACAGTTTTTCCCAGAAGACAACTGACATGCTTTAGGTAGGAAGGACCCATTAGCCCTGAAACTTACTTTAAATAAAAATTTTAAAACTGACATTTCCGTATTTAAATCTAATTAATTTTCATTCATTTAATTAAACCCTAGGATGATTTCACTACTATTAGTTCATTTAATTAAACTGTGATCAGCCTAAAGATTAGTTTTAGAATTCAATGCTACTGAATTAGAACTCACTAGAATGCATTAAGTTCGTTTTTTTAATTGAATGAAAAAAAAATTTTTTTAAAGATTTTTATTTATTTATTTGACAGAGATCACAAGTAGGCAGAGAAGTAGGCAGAGAGAGAGAGAGGAGGAAACAGGCTTCCTGCTGAGCAGAGAGCCCGATGTGGGCCTTGATCCCAGGACCCTGAGATCATGACCTGAGCGAAAGCAGAGGCTTTAACCCACTGAGCCACCCAGGTGCCCCTGAATGAAAAAAATTTTTTAAGGGACACTTAGGGAGAAAGAGTATTAAAAAGCTTAAATTACCTTGCAAGAGTTAAATCATGATGATGATATTCTAATGCTTTGGCATAATCATGCAAATAGAAATAAGCATTGCCCAGCTGGCTGTAAATGGCACTAAGTGTTTTTAGGTCTTCAGTTCCAACTTGAACTGCAGCTTCAAAGAATGACACACCAGCACGGCAGTCTCCAGATTTACACAGACGTTCCCCTTCCAAGGCCAGTTCTAGGCAAGAAGCTTCCATTCTATAAAATTATATAGGACAGACATTTACAACATTACATTACAACTACACTAAAGTATTTTTAACTTCAGGTAATATAATTTTCATGTTGACTGTTGCTACTCTTGCTCAGAAAAGCTGCCTCTATAATTGAAGTAGATATACATTATTGATAAAACAGTCAACTATTATTTATAGCATGAGCTAAGTTGCCGAATCAAATATCTCTGAGCCTCAGAAGTCTTTTATAAAGCATAGCTAAATATCACTATATGGAGTCCATCTTAAAATGGCCTATCCAGAGCAACCCACTTTACCAATGAGAGAACCTAAAGTAGTGCTTCCTAAAGTATTCTGATTTGTGGCAATCTCACAGACTTCCTGAGAGTTTGGGGAGAAAACAGGTACCTGGGGAAGGTGAAGGCCTATAATTAATACCCTTCTCAGTCCGTATATCAAAGTGATCTACTCACCTGTCCATCAACCCCTCCTACTACCATCTATACCTCTTTCTCTGTCCCATACACTCATACAGACACATGCTCCTTCCTGTTCTCACCACATGATCATCTATACCTCAGAAAAAAAGAGCAGAATATTTTGATATATCAGGCACACTTCCATAAAAGAACTACGTGTCAAGAAACTTTACGTTAGAAAGCAGTAATTAAAGATTTGCATTAATTCTAATAGTCAAAGTCTGTCACTGGATTTTTAAAAGCCAGAAGAATGACGTTACTGTAAATCTATGTAGGAGAAAAAGTACTGATAATTCAGGTTCTAATCCTAGACTTTAGTAGGTGCCTTTCACCAAAGTTGCTACTGTGTTTTCTTCAACATTTTTATGATTTCTGCCATGTCTGTGTATTACCTAATCATTCATTTAAATGTGTTTCTATAATTTGGCAAAGCTCTTTGAAACTGGCATATGTCCTTAAAAAAACAACTCTAGCTTCATCCAAAGTACTATCCATGGAACTGTGAATTTGATGTGATACTTATGTTTATTTATGAATGTACATTAAGACAAATATGTATAAGTAAAATACAAAAGTAAAATTACCTTATGTAATGTGACTAGTACACATATCACCCTTTAGAAAACCCTGATTGAACTCATCAAGCATTTTCATTTTGTGAGCAACACGAAATTACTCCTTATCAGAATTAGCTTTGAGCAATTCTAACAGAGCAGTGATTTTTAACCCTGGCTGCACAACAACAGAGCTCATGTAGACTGTTTTTTTAAACTCTCAGTGTGGGGCACCTGGGTTGTGCAGTTGGTTGAGCGTCCAACTCTTGGTTTCACCTCAGGTGATGATCCCAGTGTCATGAGATCAAGCCCCATGTCACGCTCTACGCTCAGCATGGGGTCTGCTTAAGACTCACTCTCTCTCTGCCTCTGCCCTTCTCATCCTCCACCACATACTCTCTCTATATAATAAATAAATCAGTCTTTAAAAATAAATAAATAAAACTCTCAATGCTAGGTCCCACTCTCTGAGAATGATAGCTGGCTTGCAGTATTTTTTAAAATACCCCTGAGGAATTCCAATGTACAAGCCAGAGTTGATAATCACTGGTTTAACAAGAAATGTAAATTAAACCATCACTCACCCTAAATTTATTCAAACACAATTATACTTTAGCATTTCTAGTAGCAGGTCAATTAACACTTTTCTTCAGATGCTGTTTTTTGTCTGTAACATGCCAAGGTTCCTTAAAGCCATAAATTAAAATGGAATTGCAAAAGTAGAAAAGAAATCTGATAAGCCTAAGAGAAAAGTCTGGACTAAGATTAACAGAGCCAACTGCAAAGGTGCAAAGCAGACTTTTAGTTCAGGATAAACAGATTTATGTAGTCGTCTCGGATAGGTAATTTTCAAGTTTTATATGCAGGTGTCTTTTTTTTTTTTTAAATAATTCAAGTAATTTAGCCAAAGGATACTGTCTATTCACAGTCAGACTAGTGATTTCACCCTCACTTTATGGATCTAGACAAAATAATGCAAGTAAACCTCTACTTGACATTTTGCTTCAACATCACATCAAGTCAACTAGATATAAAGGAAGATCTTAAGTACTTGGAAAATTAATTGGTTAAATCAGAAAATGTAAATTGCTATTTATATTTCTTCATGTCATTTCAAATTAATAAAACTAATTTTTGTCTTTCACAAGTAAAAACTGCCCTTGAGAACTGTATTTCTGAGGGATGCCTGGGTGGCTCAGTTGTTAAGCCTCTGCCTTTAGATCGGGTCGTGATCCCAGGGTCCTGGGATTGAGCTCTGCACTGGGTTTCCTGCTTTGCAGGAAGCCTGTTCTCTCTCTTCTACTCCCCTTGCTTGTGTTCCCTCTTTTGCTGTGTCTGTCAAAATAATAAATGAAATCTTAAAAAAAAAAAAAAAAAAAGTATTTCTGAACATTAGAGACTTCATGAAGAAAAAAATTATTTTTGTTTAAGGTTTTACAAGGTTACCAGTATATTCTGTGTGTGAAGAGAAACGAGGTAGTAAAAGACTACTATGTAAAAATATGATTTTATTAAAGGGTTCTTCTGCTAGATGAGCTACTGAAATGAAGTGTCTATTTGTCTGAATACCGAAACCACTGCACTTTCAAGAATTACCATAGGAAAAAACTTGGGAAGTATATTTTTACATAAAAAATACATTACTTTTTCTATTAATTTTTTTAAAAGATTTTACTTATTTATTTGAATGAGAGAGAGCAAGAGTGTGTGTGCATGAGTATAAGCAGATGGAGGCAGTGGGAGAAGCAAATTCTCCACTAAGCAGGAAGCCTGATGCAGGGGTTTGATCCTGGAAGCCTGGGATCATGACCTGAGCCGAAGGCAGACGCTTAACCAACTGAGCCACCCAGGTGCCCCTCTATTAAAAATTTTTAATTTAAGCATGATTCCAATTATGTAAATTACACATTGAGCAATTTCACTGCTAGGAATTGATATTAAAGCTATAGCGACACAAATTAAAAAAAATATGTGAAAGGAGATGTTCATAGCAGTTAAAAACCTCACACAATTAAATGTCCATCAACATAGCATTAGTTAAAAGAAAATTACATTCCATGGTAAAATGGAATACTAATGATGATATTCACTGAGGGAGAGAGAGAGAAATAGTTACACACAGCAGCACCATCTGTTCAGGATGGGTAGGTGGCTGGCCAGCAAATCAGAGATAAGGCAGAACTGGCTATTCAGATATAAGACATGTAAAAACTGGAAATTTACAACATGTGTGCTATATCCATATAAACCAGAGAAATGTCTTCTTCAAATAAGTATCTTCACCACAAATATATGACTTTCTGGATTTAAACTCACACATTATACTGGAACCATCAAACCCAATAATGTTGCATTTAATTTTAATTTAGCTATAGACTAATGGTATCATAAGAGCTACAAATTTTTAAAAAGGCATTTTATTATTATTTTTTAAAGATTTTATTTGACAGAGAGAGAGAGAAAGTGAGGGGTAGCAGGATAGGGAGAAGCAGGCTACCTGCTGAGCCAGGAACCCAATGCAGGGCTGCATCTGAGGACCCTGAGATCATGACCTGAGCTGAAGGCAGAGGCCCAACAGACTGAGCCACCCAGGCACCCCCTTAAAAAGACATTTTAGGGGGCGCCTGGGTGGCTCAGTGGGTTAAGCCACTGCCTTCGGCTCAGGTCATGATCTCAGAGTCCTGGGATCGAGCCCCGCGTCGGGCTCTCTGCTCTCTAGGGGAGCCTGCTTCCTCCTCTCTCTCTGCCTGCCTCTCTGCCTGCTTGTGATCTCTCTGTCAAATAAATAAATAAAATCTTAAAAAAAAAAAAAAAGACATTTTAGATAATTTTCATTAGAAAGAGTGACAACAAACTGGAACACTGCTGGCTACTCAGCTGTCTCTGAAGTCTATGAAGTAAGAATGCTCTGTAAGGGAAACTACCTTAGAAAAGTTATTTCAGTAACTAATTTCCAAAATAAAGTCCCAAACTCTCTAGTTTATGATTAATTATAAGAATATTGTGGCTCTGGTATAGGTTTATTAGAAAATAAGTCAATATTCTGGCAAAATCTCCAACACCTTAATCAAATATATCTAATTACAAAGTAGTCAAGGCAGGTTGGTTTATAAATTTTTTAGAAGATCATTAAATAGTAAGAGAGAAAGTAATTTCATATCCTCTTTGTCTCTATGAGAGAATAGAATTACTTAATTAGTTTACCAGCTGGGTTGGAAACAAAGAACATACACAGAGTGGAAGACAAACTGGGAAAATACCTCCATTAACATACGTCCAACATACAATGTTTCTTTTATTCTTTCTAATGCCCTATCTAGTTGTACAATCAAAGAAAGTACATTCCTAGTAACTATAAATAAACACAGTACTATTATCCTTAATTGAAATGTTTTTGTTTTGCTAATAGACCATTATAGCTATAATTCCTTATTTTTGCACAAAACTCATGTCATTTCAATTTGATTTTTATATTTTTTTATTATTTTTTAAAAGATTTTATTTATTTGATAGAAAGAGAGACAGTGAAAGAGGAAACACAAGCAGGGGGAGTGAGAGAGGGAGAAGCAAGCCTCCTGCCAAGCGAGGAGCCTGATGTGGGGCTCGATCCCAGAACCCTGGGATCACCACCTGAGTAAAAGACAGTGCTCAACAACTGAGCCACTCAGGAGCCCCTGATTTTTATATTTTATTATTATTTACTTTTCTTCCACACTAGATTTTTTTTTCTTTACCTTAATTTTGGTTTCTTGTGTTCATAGTATACCAATGAAAGCAAAAGATTAAAAACTCAATGCTGTATCATTTTAAAAGATTTAATAGAGATTTTGTTCAAATCAGATCTTCCCTTCAAAAGGTTTACATACTATTTAAGAATAATTGTTGGGATTGAGGACTCAAGATTCAAAAAAAGAGTGCTCTCCATCTTCTCCATTGTGCTGTCTTCTATGGCTGTCAAATCTTTTTACCGACCTTAACTCCCTCTACCTTCTATGGGTTCTAATTGAGCATGGATCTTTTCCACTATTAATCCTACCCCACCACAAACAATTTTCATCCATTCAATTTACCATATATACCTAGTTATTCTAGTTTACTTTGTGGAAGAGAATAGTGTAAATTTATCTTGATTTAGATTTGAATTTTGATTGGTTTAAATTAAAACTTAGTTTAAATTTAAATTTAAATTAAATTCAATTAAAAAATTTAAACTAAAACTTAGTTTTAAAAGTGATTTTTTATTAAATATAAAATTTAACTCTCAAAATAACCCTCTGAGATAGGTATTATTACAGAAGAGGACAATGATGCTCAGACAGGTTGAATGACCTATTAATAAGATTGTGGGAATGCAAGGCTGAGAAATGAAACCCATTCTTTGTCTCCAAACCCAATACTATTTCCACCATTCACATTACCTCAAACTATTCTTGAGGAAAGAATATTAACAACTACATTTACCTAGCAAAACTGAAGAATTCAACACCAAAATTGGATTCCTTTACAACTTGTGTGCAATGGTCAATTTTTACAATATGGAAGTACTGAAGTGTTTATTATTCATAGTAACAAGTATGAAAAAAAATTTTCTTCAAAGAAATACAAAACTAAAGAAACTTGCTTGATAATGCTCCTGATAGATCCATCTTTCAACATCAACATTACCAATATATAATACTCTCAGTATATTTCATCTCTACTTCCATCCTTACTCTCCAACCGCAGATTCTTTTGAAGTACATTCCAGAAAGCATATTTCACTTGTAAATATTTTAGTATATATCTCTAAAAGAGATTAATTTTCAAAAAAATTTAATACTATTATCATGCCTAAAAGTTAATGATAATTACTTTAAAATCAATCATACACTGTTTTAAAGTTTAGAAACTAATTTCATTTTACTATCAGTCTCCATTTCTACCTTCACAAGTAGGTCACAAAATACTTCATAAATCATTATATCATCTCTCAGGAGGTTCCTCAGTGTCTGTTGAAATGGAAAAATCATTCCATTTCAAAATTACAAACTCATGCTACAGAAACTCCTCCAGGGATGGATGAGGACTGCCACAATGAAAGAACCATATGGATAACACATTACATGCTACCTGTTTACCAGAGCAGAATAGTAATTTATACTAGGCCACAACTCCTAATGTAAAGGACACAAAGCATTACCTGCAATTATATAACAATCCAGTTAATATACAGAATTCTGATCTTAGAGCACTGTTGAAGCCAGAGCTTTGTTTGGCATATTCTTACTAAAAATAGTTACAGAATTTAAAGTTTCTTTTGGTGAAGTCCTACACCAATATATAACCATGTTCACCCTATAATGGAAAAAGGACAAATCTAAGACATTCCTATAGGCAGAGGTATAATCTACTCCTCCTTACCTGCTGCTCTTACAGCATTAAAAAGTATACCACCCTTGAAAATGTTGAGTAAGACAGATAAAAATCTTACTTACTAGATTCACCTGATAGTTATGTCCAGTGGAATTCAATGGACATTCCATCAAACATGCACTATGAGTCATACAACATGCTAGGCATCATGGCTGCCCTAAGGAAGTTAATGGTCAAAGAAGGGAGTGGTCAAGGAGGAGACAAACATATAAACAGATACAGTGAATTTTAATATAGTTGAGACAAAGAAAGAAATATGCAAAGAATATTATGTGAGCACAGGGAGGGTACATAGTAAACTATACTGTTTAGAAATGGTTTCCAGGAGTAGATAATTCAAGTCATAGGGTGCAGCATGAGCAAAGGCACAGAGACATGGAACAGCAAGACATGTACAGAACTCAGAGGGAAAGGTGAGGAGTGGAGAAAGTAAGGACAAAGGAATACACAGAGGCTAGAAAACAGAAAATCTTGTATACTGGTTTAAGCCTGGGTCTGCCCTACAGATTTCAAGGAGCCACCATGGTGATAAAGCCGAATTTGCACAGTCAGCTCTGTGTTTTTAGACTGAGCCCTCTAGCAGCAAATTAAAAAGATGGATTCTAAAAGTAAGAATGGAGAATAGAGGGAATCTGGAGGGAGGATAATGTGGGCCTAAACTATTGCAGTGATAGGGAGGATCCAGATGGGTAGCTCAATCTGGATCAACATTTAGGAGGTAAAACTGGCATGACTTCACACTGGCTACAGAGAGTAAAAAGAGAAAAAAAGCATGTAAGATAACTCCCAGGTTTTTGGAACTATGCCCAAAGGGGTAGAGGACATTTCATTTATTAAAAGCTCTTTTTAATTATGCCAAATGTCCTCCCTTTCTTTTATTCAAAACTTTAAAAAATTTTAAAAAAGATTTTATTTATTTATTTGAGAGAGAGAGAGAGAGAGAAAGTACAAGCAGGGGGAGCAGCAGGCAGAGGGAGAGAGAGAAGCAGGCTCCATGTTGAGCAAGGAGCCCGATGTGGGACTTGATCCCAGGACCCTGGGATCATGACCTGAGCAAAGGCAGCTGTTAAACCAACTGAGCTACTCAGGCACTCCTAAAACTTCCTTTTCTAAAAATAGAAATACCGGGGCACCTGGGTGGCTCAGTGGGTTAAAGCCTCTGCCTTCGGCTCAGGTCATGATCCCAGGGTCCTGGGATCGAGCCCCACATCGGGCTCTCTGCTTAGCAGGGAGCCTGCTTCCTCCCCGCTCTCTCTCTCTGCCTGCCTCTCTGCCTACTTGTGATCTCTGTCAAATAAATAAATAAAATCTTAAAAAAAAAAAAAATAAAAATAGAAATACCCTCATCTTACCTATATAAACTTCTGTGGCGGCACCTTGCCCTAACATGAATCATGTTAGATCACAAATCTATTTCCTAAACATGTGTTAAGATCTAAGATTTGGTAACCAACAACTTCAACTTCCTAGAAATGCTGAATACTACCCATTGCTACAAGTTCTGATGTTTATTTAATACTAATATAACAGGTTTTTTTTTTTTAAGATTATTTATTTATTTATTTGACAGAGAGAGAGAGACAGGGAGAGAAGAAACACAAGCAGGGGGAGTGGGAGAGAGAGAAACAGGCTTCCAGCTGAGCAAAGAGCCTGAAGCGGGGCTCGATCCTAGGTTCCCAGGATCGTGACCTGAGGGGGAAGGCAGCCGCTTAACAACTGAGCCACCCAGGCACCCCAACTTGTAACAGTTTTGACAAAGAATCTATTAGTATCCTAATCACCTTACTAATAATTACATGCCTTTCATTCAATATTTGTTCATTTTATTGTTAGTGCAATGATCAGAACTTCTAGAATAAATGTTAAATAATGATGCAGAAATCACTGCTTTGTTCCTAAATGTATCTAAAATGTCATTAATATTTTATCACTAAATACTAAACTGGCTATTTATCATGTTTAGAAAGCACCCACCCATTTCAATGTTACTGGCTTTCTAAAAAGCTCATT